AACCAGCAGAACCAGCGAGGGGCAGCCGACCGCTGTGAGCACTTGAGGGTGATGGCAGGAAGATGGGACAAAACAAAACACATTGATCATAACTAACACATCTTCCCATGGGCTTCCCATAATACACATCAGTGCATCATGGGAAGCCCACAGCAGCCTAGGCCTATTGCAGGGTCACTAAGGGAGGATTCGGGGTTACCTGATCCAGCCCTAACTATATGCTTTATCTAAAAGGAAAGTTTGAAGCCTAATCTTAAAAGGAGAGCCGTGTCTGTCTCACTGATTCAAGAGAAGGAGCCATTCTACGTTTAAATATCCTTGGAAGCACATGTAAGCCTGCTATCTGAGAGCAAAGTGCTCTCTTGGGGGCTACTGACGTGTACAAGACACTGATTTGTGACTTAACTTTCTGTGGTTCCTCTGTATCAGGAACAATTTGGTCAAAATGTTTAGAAGCTCAGGCTTGAGAAGCAGTGCTCTGCAGTATCTAATGCTTGTAGTCATAAACAAATGTTTCTCAATCAGCTTCTTGGCAAAAACTCTACAAGTATCAGGAGAAATATAGCTTACTTTTCTTTCCCCCCCTTTTCAGCAACCGACCCGGCACACCACCGCAGACGCAGCTCATACACAACAGCACTACTGTCCTTTCCCCCTCCTCCACCCATTCCACCCTTCTGGCACCACACCCCCACCCAGAGCACCTCTTTGCTGCTTCCCCGTCTTCCCATTGCTTGGCCTACCTGCCCAGCCTGTCCCAACCCTCCGTGGTCATGCTGTACAGACCGCCAGAAACGCCCAACCAGATGCTCGAAGGTCACACCTCACCCAGGTTGGAGGCAACGAAGAGGAAGAAGGAAGAAAGAGAGGAGGAGGAGATGGTGCTTAAAAAGAAGGGGAATTCTGCGTTAGAGAAATGTGAAAAGGTGAGATGGTTTTCTGTGGCGACGTGGATTTTAATTTCTGCTGCTAATTGCTATTCTTGTTCCACTCCGAGCTAATTATTCGGTTCGGTGCCGTAATTCTGACAGTCAGAAAATCCTGTTAGTAATTCACCACGGCAGACAGTTAAACTGAAAATGGAAAATGTGCCATGCTCACTGATCAGGGTAAGTCTTGTGTGGTGTAATTAAAGACTTCTCATCTCAGTAGAGTATAAGATAATTGATCATTTGAAGACCTGGTGCAGTTAATCAGGATACATAAAATCAAAGGTTCGGTGTCACATGCTAGGTTGGTCTTTTTAAAAGGTTGACTGAGAAAATAAACCGTAAGCCAGGAACATGACTTGACTTTGTTACTAGAAGGGGAGACGTGTTATAGTCTGAGTTTTAACAAACAAATGCAGATCATGAGGCTGTAACATCAGATGTCATTCCTGCTCTTTCCAGACTCGAGCTGAAGCTTGCAGGGAAACAGCAGAGTGCTCGCAAGCTGGTACCAGGGCTTCTCCCAGTCGAGCAGCAGGCCTCTGCAGAGAGCAGGTGATCGGCGAGAGTGGAGGTGGCAACAGCAGCAGTGAGCATGCTCAGCCGTCGCACTACCTTTACGTCCCCAACAATGCAGGTAATGCACTGTTTTAGGAAACTGGGTTGAATTAAGCAGCACACAGAGCGACATGTTAACTGTATGATTTGCTGTGATAGTAGAGGGCTTGTAAGAGAGCGACACTATGATTTGCACCCTTTTACTGAGAATATTCCCTGCAGCAGCTCCTTTCAGTGCTGGAAATCCAGAGCACTTTATTCCCAGGATTTGGGAACTGAATTTTATTTATTTATCTTTGCTTTGTAAAAAAAAATCCTTCAAACCTTTTAATCGGTCTCCTGTCCTCTTTTCTAGGATTAAATGGCCTCAACTTCCTGCTCTCAGCTGGACAACCAGCAGCCAGTCTAGCACTTCCTCCCAGCAGTGTTCCCACCTTGGCACTGCCCTATGTGCTGGTACCATCTGCTGCCCTCTCCCATTACCCCCTGGTGGCCGGCGGTCTACAGCAGCAAGGCTCTGATGCTCACACAAAACTGAGCTTTGGTCTGCCTGCCATGATGTCACCTGCCCACTTCATGGTGGGGGGGGCGCCGTATAGTGTGGTGCCGGTTCCACCGCCGTCCACTCCAGAACAGAGCGGGCTTTACAGGTCGTCAGTTGGCACGCCACATTCTCCCTCGAGACCACGACCGACCATCAGCATCAACACGCCAGAACCACTGGTAAGAACTGACTGCACTGCTGTAACCCTGCTCTCTCACACACACACACACACACACACACACACAGCTGTCTGCCCTAAAATACATCAATGTAATTAGCCTTCATAATGAAACATGACCTTTCTCGTATCAGGCACTCGCAAAATGTCACAACACAGCTTGACACGAGAGCAAGTGCAGCATCTGTTTTGTGGAAGGTTTACCCTCATTTACTCATCTGGACACTTTGTGTCACAGCAGTTAAGACTGATTAATCTCCAGCTTGTTAAATGGGAATGAATTTTACTGCCTGCAAAGACCAGTGTAGTGATGCTGGTTTAGCTCTCATAGAGAGAGTTACTGGGCAGCAAATTCACGCGACCTTATAAACAATAGGACAAGTCAATGACCACGTTGTAATGATGCATTAATCCCACTCTCGCTTTCAGTGTGTAGAGTTACGTCTACCCACCCATTTTCTTAGATAATATTCAGTTATAGGTCAGTGGAAGGTCAGACTTCCACTGACCACTAGGTCAGTGGAAGGTCAGACTTCCACTGACCTTTCAGCAAGTGAGATTGTATCTACTGCTGGCAGTGGCTGCTGTTTATGCGTTGGGTTGTCTGAATGTTCCCTAAATGCATTCTGTCTCTCTTTACAGACTCCACATACGCCCAAGGAAACCCC